TTTTCCTTTTGCTTCATCCCGACTACGTGTACACCTGACTCCACAATATTACTTGACGTACGCTCCACAAGCTTGAGTATGACGCTGCTGCACACACGATTTTCCTCAGTCAACTAATTAAGTTTTCACTGGAGCACTTTTCTCGATCTAACGGTCATTTTGTTGTCGGATATTAGCTGCTTTGCAGTCCGTGAAAACCTATATTTCACCCCCCCCCCAAACCAGTAACTCTCGTCAATCCTAGTTTAGAATCTCAACTCTATCGCCGCATTTCCTATTACAGTGGTTACCGGAAAATACGCAAGCGATTCTCGCTATCGCTCACTCAACTAGCTCATTCAGCAGATTGAGTCGTCGAACGATCACAGCCACAAGCCGATTTCAGCAAGATCAACGCCGTCGCATACCAAGACACTTTTCTCACTGGCTTACAGGTAACTATAGAAGCCCTGCAACCACAGGTTGCGACACTTAGCCGCCAAGTCCAACAGCTTACCATCAACCGTTGTTGTCACAGCCGATCCAAATCGCCCTCGAAATGTAACAAGTCCAGCAACAAGCAGGCTTGTTGTTGGTACCACCGGCACTTTAGTACGGCAGATCGTAAATGCGTTCAGCCTCGTTCCTTCGTCGAGAAGCAGGGAAACTTCTGGGCCAGTCAGCTAAGGCGACGGACGCGACCGGCCAAAACCAAAGCCACTTCATCCGCGTTAGGGATTTAACTTACGGCACCGAGTTTCTAGTAAACAGCGGAGCAGAAGTTAGCGTACCTCAAATGTGATCGCCTCACCTTCCCAGACCAAGCTACGTGCCACACCAGTCACAAGCTTCGGCCAAAAGCTGCTAACGCTCAATCGGGGTCTCGAACGAACCTTTCTCTGGCCTTTCAAAGTAGCAGCCGTAACGCATTCACCAGACTGGTAGCATAGTAAACGTGCTCCCCTCTGTCACAATGGTTCGCGTCTTCCTCTTCACCTAGCGAAGTCAGCATACACTCATTCGAATCGGATTAACTCCCCGTGTTAAGTGGGCGTATTTTTACGAAACTATTTCCTATGGAAATTAAGTTGTGCTACCCAAGTTGTTTCAGCACGCTTCGTGCTTCTATCCAGACACGCCACTCTGTTGCTTATTAACCGTTCTCACTGCTGTGGCACTGTGGGCGATCAAAGATTCTCCGCGCTATCTGGTGGTCCTAGAATTACATCCATAGGCTCAATTCTAACGAAGATACGACTCAATCTGTTGTTTAAATTGCATTCGCCCATCGCCGGCACTTTTCTCTGTCATCCACCCACTACAAGTCACTTCCACCGACTTTGTTCTACAGAAACCAGCGTGGATCAATAAGCTAGCCAAATTCCGTGTACGTGTGTCCTCGTCGCGAACACTCACCCACCGACGTCGAGAGTGCGACTGGAGAAAGAACGCGAGCGTCACTCGCCCTCTATCTCAGGTGAACAGACATGAGCAGCGTTATAACAACGGCTCTTGGTGGAACTGATTCCCCCTAACCACAAACTACCGAACTCGGAGCGAAGCACGAAGGCCGTTGACAGCCGGGTGGGTCAGACGCCTTCATACAAAAGTAAAGCACCGTGTTACCTGTATCAGTCTGAACAAAACAATAAGAATACGAGCACTGCAAGGTAGCACTATTTAGTGTTCTCTGATCACTTGCAAACTAACAACATATATAGATCACGTAAGGGAAAGAAACGATCGTTTCAAATTGGTCAGAAAATAATGCACACAAACACAAAACAATAGCTGGTAGCGCTGGGGCAAAGGTCATGAACCCCAAGGAAGCTTAAGGGCTACTGTCAGTAGCTTTTGCACACAAAGGGTGGGACGGTAACGATTTAGGGCCACAGCCTCGGCAAACTTCAGCACCCTGGTGTTTTCGTTTCGGTAGACAACCGTAAAAGCTGACCCAGGGTCAACTTGATGACCTGTACTTATTAGATGTCTGGTAATGGGTGATGCCGGCAGCTTGCCTGCTGTTCCTTGTCCGGTGGCTTATTGTGCCATCAGTCCAGCAATTCACTTCGGAATGTGCTCTCCAATCCAAGCTACTTACAGTAGCCCTTAAGCTTCCTTGGGGTTCATGACCTTTGCCCCACCGTTACCAGCTATTGTTTTGTGTTTGTATGCACTTTTTTCTGACCAATTCAAAACGATAGTTTCCTTCCCTTATGTGATCTATATATGTCGTTAGTTTGCAAGCGATCAAAGAACATGAAATGGTGCTATCTTGCAGTGCTCGTCTTCTTACTGTTTTGTTCAGGCCTTCATAGAAGCCGATGGCCATCGAAGTTGTTCATCCGGCGTCGTAAATTACTCTTCTGTGATGATGATGTGTCAGCTGTACGCCGTAACGGCGCTTCGCTGCCGCGCAACCACCACCAGTCGTGCGCGGGCTGAGTATACTGCTAGGACGCCCACCCCTACGCAGATTCGAACCGGTGACCTTATGGTTGCAAACCAAACGTGCAGACCACTCGGCCCAATAGCTGGTCACATAGGCTTTGACACAGCGTCTTGTGAGCTCTTGTGGTATTTAATTAGGAACCAGCCCAGAACCCCCCACGCCCTAGGACGCTGTCGGTAAGTGTCCGCGACGGCTTATTCATCTCGCATGAGAACAGCCGAGACTTTTCACAGTTACCTTCACAAGGAAGGTATTTCCCGATCTGCAACCTGGGGACGTGCCCGGTGGCGTACAGCACTGCCGAACCGACCACCGGTCGGTTTACTTCCGTCTCAATAGTAGTTAATAAGGAAGCGATCCTACTAAAGTATGATGACTACACTGTCCTGGGTATCAATCAACTAACTACCGATGGTTCACTTTAGCCTGCAAGACCGTCTGGACGACCTTAACGTTTAGTCTAAAGCTCGTCATCTGTAGTCAAATGTATCAATGTGTTATGACGCTTTATTTTTGCAACAAAGAAGAACCAGTTACGAGCAACTCATCACGCAGTGCCGCAGGCTTCATATTGACAAGGATGGATTATAGTCCTCTATATCAATGAAGTACCTAAGTGTGACACCGAACTAAGATCTATGTCGGACGCTTTATGTAAACGAAACATTCACAAAAGTCAGAAGATTGTCATTCTACACCTCTCGGCTGAGAGACTCCTCTGACCCTGGTGACGTGATACTGCGCTTTGTCAACGCTTGTGTTCTCCCTTACAAGGCGTACTGCTTCCCTGTGTCTGTTCCCGCTCTTATGGATAAGTAGTTCAATCTAATTATCAGATCATAAATGTATTTATCCCAATGAGGCGGAGTTCTGATGCTTACAATTTGTCAATATACTTCTGTCTGAACAGATCAGTTCTAGTAAGAAAATTGCCGTTACACAAGTCATCCGCTTCTTCTCACTGTATCTGAGTGATTGCCACATTGTTCTACTAGACAGAAGCAAAAGCTGGTATATGCTCGGAAATAAACATACCTGTCATCGGTCACTGCTATCGCATTTGCTGCTTTATCATAACCTAACCAGCCAATTTTCAATATGAGGGTGTGCCTCTTTATCCATCATTAAACTGCTTTTGATGATATTGTTTGCTAATTGAGTTCTCTTTTGGTATATATTGTTGAGATGATGTATGTTGTAGCTGAATATCCACTTGTCCTGGATTTGTAAAATAATTTGACATAATTGTGTGAGTTTAGCCTTTCTAGTTGGCATTTGTGCACGGAAGCTGAACGCGCTACGATTTGGTGCCTGAATAAGCTGAAAAAATCAGAGAATTCCGTCGCACGCTTAAGTTGGCGTGGTGACCATTTTGTAACTGAAGGCAGCGATCATTAAATAGTGAAAATTTGGAATGAAATCAAGCACATAAGTCTTCGTTCCGTCACTATTGATCGCTCGAGCTGCGCATGTCTCGAATATTGAACTTATTCAGATACGCATTACATCGTAAAAGTCAGTCGCTCGTTCGGAAATGGCCTTTTTGGCAAAAATAAATCAGCAGAAAGCGTAGCGATATATATTATTCCACCGCTTTCATCAATAAAGTCGTTGTTCATTTTTTGTATCAAGAAGACGAAACAAGAAATCTCAGCCGACTTCAACCAATCAATGAAGCGGTCTAGTGCACTTACCGACTGGACCTGTTCACATCGAGTGCATGATACCATCACGCATCGTTCCTCGACTGTACGGTAGCGAATTAGGCAAGCAGGATGTGCGGATCGGCTTCGAAACAGTGGTCACTCACACTTGTGTCTCCTGTACTTGTATCTGGTAACTAACAGTTGGTACGGACAGAAATGTAGGTGATGCAGTGTGGGATATCCACAACCTATCGGTTGACAGGAGTCTTGTGATTGTTCGAAGCTACAGGAACAAATGAATCCAGAAACAGACGTTGTCAAAAGCCGATCCTTTTGTGTCACAAACGCGAGTACCGCTACGATTACTGTCGTCAAGGTATCTGCTCCTTTTAGACAACATCACAGAACCCAAGTGTAGCAGACATATGTATGGAAATGTGGCGCGGAAGCACTAACAGATACAGTAAAACCAGACGTACACCAGAATCAGACACAGTCTGTGTGTGTCTCACAGTGGATATCGAATGGGAATACTCATATCAAGTTACGCTTAGGACAGTGCGACGCAAATTCGATTACACAATGCCAGATATGACAAGAGCAGCTGGACCCACCCAACCGAGTAGTGGCCACGAAAATCCACTAGTGAGTGTCATCGACTACAACAACTCGACCGACATACCGCAAGAAAGTGTGAACAGCAATCGATGGAACATTAGCTAGCAGCTTAAGCAGCAATGACAGAAGGCGGTGTGCGACAGGCGCGTTGTGAATGCTCCTCCCTCAAAGATGACCTTTCACGTTCAAAGGATGATTAGTCGCTGGCCACCGACCACATGTGTACACATTTTGACGGTTACGACTTTCTGTATACCCGCACTCATCGTATGAGACAAGTACAGGAAAAGTGATAGAACAAAGTCGAGGGAATAAGGAAGCACTCTACTATAAATGTAAAATAGAAATACCGAAATAAAGTAGAGTCGATCACGTCATGGCGCAATGTGTGTGCAGTGTTACGCATGCATGTTCCATTGGCTCACAGCCAAATTGGTAGGCAGAGGTGAGGGCACTGAGGTGGTGCCCATGTTGGGATTCGAACTGGAACCAACCGAGAGGCGACGCAATAAGACTTCGGAATCCGCATGGCGAATGAAGGAGTCTCGACTGCGGTTATCCTCGGTATCTTGCTCCTCTGTGAACACATAACCTGTCTCTGAGCCGGTGTAAGTGGTGCGACCACGAAATCGGGAACCAGTTGGTATGCGGCCTAAAGATCGGGTAGGAGAGTTTACCGACAGAATCAAGCGATCACTGTCTTCATCGTCCACCGGCGGATCCGATGGAGTGGGCGGAGATTGTGGTCTTGTCTCTGGGTCATTCGGATACACAGAATCATTGATCGGATCCAGCATACTCACACTGTCACGCAGCTCGGTGGCCTGTGTTGCTTGATAGGAAGGGAGTTCGGATGTAGACCCGGACTCACTGCCACCCTGTAGGCTAGCTGCATCCGACCTTGCGTGTAACAGTTCGTTGTGCCGTGCGGTGTTCACCGCTCCAGGATCCGATTGTGCGGCATTTTGTTGGTCCTCCATTAGTTCAGCAGGTGGATACGGACACTCAAGATGCACCATATGGAAAACCTGTGAGAAATGGGGAATGAAAATGATGCATAGGTAGCAGCAAACTATGAAGAATAGCGAGCAGAGTATATCTCTAAGCGAAACTGAAAACCGACCTGGTACATTTGAGGCTTAGATAAAGTGACCGGCAAAGCAGAAAACGCGTACAGAAAATAAGCTACTTAAAGTCCTCACGTTAAGGCGTTTTGGCTAAAATTCGTCACAATTGACCATATTATGTGTTTGTGGCACTGACCGGATGTCAGTTTCAGGCTTCGCCTCCAAAAGCTGTAAGTTGTTACAATAGCACCCAGGCAAGCCAAAGTGAGAAAACTGTTATCTGTCCTACATTTAGGTTGTGTTCCCGAGAAAATACGGAGACTTACACTAGAATGATTAAATAATGAAACCATTTCATTAGTTGGAATTTAGTTCCATCGAGCATATATAATTTGCACCAGACACACTGGAAGCAGAGAAAGAACTGCTAGTTGACGTCCATTGCAGTTCATCCAGTGATTCGGTGACTCGATGAAACAAGATGGAGAGATAACGGTTCAAAAGAAACAGGTAGTCATTGAGTTGCTTTTCAAAGGTGACTACCTCATGAAAGTCTCCGTTAGAAGGATGTGTACCTCAATAATGAAGACATACAATGCAGCAGAGTTACGCTTGCTCGTGACCACAAGACCATTGCTTGAGTGTTCAGTGAAGACACCGGCGAGGAAGCAGTGTACATCCTATTGCTTAGACAAATTCATATGTAGCTATGGAACAGCTATGTTGGGCGAACTAATGGAAATCCAGGTGTCCGAATCAATGAACATGTTCCAAAGTGCCTGCGCAAACGGATAGATCACATGATGGTCTGTGTATCTCAGTGACCCATTGAGCTACATTGGGTGGTGCTTTTTGCATCTTCAGAGCCACTCATACCAGATTGGTCAACAGTTACAGGGCAGACAAAGTGAGGCTCTTGGTCCTCTAAATTGGGGGTTGGGGTGGGGGTGGCTCCTTACTCCATAAAACAGACTCGCTGTAGCCCAGCGCGATCAGATTTTGAACCGAAGACTGTTTGAGAACCCTAATCGTTCGCCTGTCTAGGCCTAGGCAACCTGACAGTATCCCACTCGGTAATACAAGTATGCATTTCTCTCCACATGATTTGTTGATGCTCTGGCCGTCGCAGAGGAGATTCAACGACGTATAATCTCTGTAACAACAAGCGTGGACATAGGTCACGACGTGACGGCTCAAACCTTCAAGTCTACTTACTCCCTCACTTGTGCTTTTTCATCCTTATCGTCCCGCTCCAACTTCAATCTTATCCCCTGGTTTTCAAACACCCAATTCGTGACCCTACCCCACCTTCCTTTGACAGGTGATTATCCTCCAGTTTCCGATCATATACAATTTCATGTTCAATCAGGCGGACAAGGTCAGTTCATCAGTTTCTCTTTAGAGCCCTCGATCCTCGCTAAGACTGACATGCGTCAACGTGTGCACTTTATTACAGATTGGTAAAAAAGCAGCATTTGCACGAACACTAGTGAACCTAACGATCGATATCTGATGTTCACTGAAATCCCGCCTGCAAAGCTCGACCCTTCAGCTTGCCCTGCGATCCCCTACATGTGATATTGGCAGCACTTTTTCATTTCGCTTACCTAAAGATAACGCAGTGTCAAATGGCGGTCAGGCCGGTGTGGGCATGGTTTTCAGCCCCCGCGCTGAAGCTGATCGGTCGATTGGATCCCAGGCAACAGCAGGATGTGCGCTGTAAAATTAGTCGGATCGTTCAAAGCCACGAACTCGCGCGGGGACAAACGGTGCCTATTTGTCACTGCTGTATAGGTGCCCACAAACTGTAGAACCGACTAGGTGCAAGACGACTCATATCACTAACTGAACAAGCCCGTTCGTTACAGGCAAAGGACGGACACGGTGGTGCTTGTGGGTGATCTGAACACCCAAGTTGGAAAATTGTTCAACAATGAGCTGTATCAGGGTGGTCAGCATGGATTAGGAACCCGTAATGATAACGGCGAGCAATTGCTACAACTGTGTGAAGACACTTGACTATTTTTCGCGAGCACAAACTTCCGACACAATACAAGCCGAATAGTGCCAGGTAGCCCACCAGCGTCGGATCAGCCAGGGACCCAAAACGATATCCGTAGGGGTGAGTTACCGCTGGAGAAGTTGTGTCCGAAATTGGCGCTGGAATTGGAGTAGGAGCGTGGACTCTGATCAAGGTCTTGAGTGAAACGAACTGCGGGTGCGTTTCGACGGACGTCCGCAACGACGCTGTAAGTACACAGGCTCCAGATAACTGCCGAAGCCAGGTGTGCTGAATGAGGATTAAAGTACGCTGGCATCCAGGCTGAGTAAGCACCCAACGAACGTTGTTGAAGAGCACTGGTAAATCAAATTGCCAACCTAGACATTGGGTCTCCACGAAGTCTCTGGAAATTCTGGATGCTCGCCGATATGTTCCGAATGGAAGCGGACACAAGGAGACTCGCAAAGACCTCACGGCGAAGCAGCGTGTTAGCTTGAATAAATAAATTGTATATTCCTCGATGAGACGAGAAGTTGTTCCCTAGAAGGAACAGATCAAATAATGGTAAAGCCTTTCCATGGCGTTGCATTAATACTTTTTCAGAAATAAACATGAGCGCAATTTCAAAATAGGAAACATAGAATAAGCAGAATCGTTCTGCTATTTGTTTTCCTGCCATTGAACCATGATTCTTCACAATCACTTGAGAGGTGTTTAAGCCGAGAAAAACTGAAATGTAATGAGAGGGGCTGTTGTCATAAATGTTGTGTATGATTTTCGAGAATTTTTTCACGCACCATCGATACCGCTTTCGAAAGCGTTATCTGTAAAACGTGCGGCCCTCCGGCAGAAAGAACAACAGGTGACGGCGACACGAAAATCTTTATTGGCGAGAATTGCTTTCTTTTTATATCAGATATGACCATTTTCTGCGCCCGTTTCTATTCGGCTACTACACTTTCATGCATTAGTCTCCATTTGCCAGTGTCCTTTGATCCTGGGCGTTTCGCCTCCAATCGTTCGGTCGTAATTCGTCCATGGCATTTGCTACAATTGGTTCCCCATGCTGTGTCTTGACGATCAAAAACCAATCGGCCGATGGGTTTCGGTTCAGTGCCTGCTCTTTCTGGCCTATGGACGGTCGTTCGCGTACCGGATTGACGTGACGCTGATTGGTCAGGCGTCTGATGCAAGTCCTCGATCCCCTTAACGTCGCTTACTCGTTTGCGAGCCGTCTCGGGTTTTGATTGGATATTCGGACCACGCTTGTTTGCCAGACGCTTTGCCGAGCCGTTGGTCTGTTCGTCCGATCGGTAGCTTGTGTGCGCCACTGGTTGGCGGTGCCGCGAACTGATTGCGATCTCCGATTGTGTTGCCGATTGGTGGAAACCAGTTCGCGCTATTGGCTGGCGGTTTGGCACGTAAGCTACCATCACATCCTTCCTTTTTTCGTTTTTTTGTAGTCCGATTGCGTAAGCGCTGTATCGCCTTCCACTGCGTGTAGTCTTGTGGTCGTGTTGCTGCCGTATCCACCGGAAATGTCCGGCTGCGTTGGCTGCTTCGCACGATGCCGTGCTTGTTCACCACGTTGTCTCCTTAACTGCACCCGGTTGCGTCGAAATAGACTATCCCCAACTCTTACGTCGTAGCTTCGTTCGCCTTTGAGACCTTCTACTCGCCCTCTCCTCCAAGACCCGTTAGCTCCCGGTGTCGGCGCGACCCAGACCTCGTCTCCGGGCAACAGGCGTGGAGCTGCTTCGTTCCGCGATCGTAATATTTCTTTTGTCGAAGCATGCGCTCACGCAAGCGCTCATACATCAAGCTCTGCGATGGTATTTCAGGCTGCAGCAGAGTATTGGCGATCGGCAACAGGGTTCTTGTCCTACGGCCAAACAGGACGTTGCGCTGGACTGCAATCCAATTTCGGCAGATGGCATGTTCCTTCGTTCTAACAACATGATGTAAGGATCTTCTTTGGTCTCCTTGGCTTTGGTGAGTAACTTCTTTGCTTCCTTCACGGCTGACTCAGCTTTTCCATTTGACTGACTGTGGTAAGGGCTGGTTAAACGATGAAGGAAATCCCACTTTCGCTGAAACTCCGAAATTTCGGCGCTGTTGAATTGGGGGCCATTGTCGGACACTACCTCTTCCGGTATCCCATGTCGCGCAAACTGCGATCGTAGCTTGTTTATACACGGCCTGTGTGCTAGTAGACGTGAGAGCATCAATCTCGAAATAGTCGCTAAAGTAATCGACAGCGATCAGGTAATTCTTCCGTCATGTGCAAAGATGTCTAGGGCGACTTTCTGCCACGGCCTTTCCGGGATCTCACGAAGCATCATAGGCTCCTTCGGCTGGCGGACAATCATGTGCTCGACAGGCTAAGCAGTTTGAAACGTGATCCCGTATCTGACTAGTCATTCCAGGCCAAAACATTAGCTCTCGAGCTCTCGCCACGCAAGCATTGACTCCTGAATGACTTCCGTGTATCAGCTCCAGCATGGGTCGTTGCATTGCCTTTGGAACGAGTATACGGTTGCCTTTGAAGATTAGCCCATACCTGTGTGACAAGTTCATCCCGAAAGTTAAAGAAGGGAGTCAACTCCTTTGGCAGCTTGTTTTTACTATCGGGCCACCCTTTCAGTATCGTTTCCTTGAGCCGATTACACAGCTCGTCTGCTTCCGTGTGGCGTAGTAGTTGCTGGAAACGCTCCTCTGTGACGGCCAATAGCTGAGTGACATGGACAATGTCTTGGTCTTCTTGCGTTGCGGTCACATCGGAAAGATATGCCCTAGACAGTGTGTCTGCAATGTACAGTCCTCGACCCCGGTTGGTAGACGATGTCTAGGTCGTACTTCTGGAGCCGGAATGAGCATTCGTTGTAAGCGGCGTGGGACGACGTGCAGTGGTTTATTGGCTATTTGATACCAGAGGCTTGTGATCGGTAAATACAGTGGT